AGGTCAAATATAAGATTAAGTACTTACGGAAAATCTCGTCGACCATGTTTGCCTATTAAAGAAAAGAAGCCAAACTACGTGATTTTTCACCAAAAAAATGTCGTCTTCAAACACGCTGGGCTTGGTGTAGCCTTGATTACACATGTTATTATTCTTGAGTAAAGACTCCTTTTCCCCCTCTATCACGCACTTTCAAACGAAAAAAAAAAAAAAAAATGAGTAAAATTTGGGACCTCTCTACTTACAGAAGAGCATGCTGTTGAACATTTCCAAAGTTATGGAATCTCACAGGCCTCAAAAAATTCTGTTAATAGCCACGAAATGGCACTTTATTTAAAAACTGAGAAGCAATGGCGTTGGAACATTAAGGCTCGTGCAAAGCGAGTGTCAATTCGAAAGGGAACGTGATTTGAGGGAAAACCTAGCGAAAATAACTGCTTTTACAGTATATCTCCTTAATAAAAAATAATGGATATTTTTAATAAAAAATTAAATATAAATAAATGATAATATAATAAATTTGAAAGAAAAATAGGAATAGAACGTTTTTTCTTGTATTTAGAAAATGAGTTTTTTTTGGGGGGGAGGGTTGGCAACATTTCTTATGGTCGACAGGATTTTTCTTAAGTACCTAAGATTACACACATTAGAAATATTGTTTTTGGTATGTATTTTTAAAAATGTCAGTCAAGTTAATAAAAATACAGTGGGTTTCATATAAAGCAGCAAGTTCAAAAAGCAATAAGTTTTCAATGATATCACTGACATTTTCAGCACATTCTAAAGATGGTCTTATCACAGTCAAAGGAATACATAAACATGTAAAAAAGACTAGTTAACAAAAATGATTAATAATAAAAGTAAATTTTGTTAATTTTGCCATAGGCTTCGAAAAAGAACCTCATGATTCCTTACTCTCTATTGTCACTAGATGGACAACACTAGATAAAATTACCATCTGCAAGGTAAAATGAACACTGTGCTAAAAGATGGCAAGGACAGCTTTATTACCTCCCATTCTAGCTGTTGATTAACAAAATTTAACTTGAATTTTTTTATACTTCAGATGAATAACTTGTGTGCGATAATTAGGTTTATATATAACACAGTACTAACTAACGTTCTTTGACAAAAATCAGATTTTTCTAAATGGCATGCATTGATTAGTTACTGTAATTAAATTGTATACCTGAAGTTGTACTTTAACACCAAGTTATGTCATATTTACATATACAGGGTAAACTCTGCATATGTAGGACTCAAAATTTTGGATCTGTAATGTTAACAAATATGACTGAAATTCAACAATATTTCCCTTTTAATTAAATTTTCCTACCTTCATTCTTTAGGCTTTAAGAAAATCACAGATATTTATCTAATTTGTTTTGGAAAACTTTAAAGCAATTCTTGCCAATTTTTTGTTTTTTTTGGAAAAAAAAAAAAAAAAAAAAAAAAAATCTTTGAATCATAATTTATAAAAAAAACTCACACAGCAATGAAAGATGCTGTGTGATATAGTAGATAAGTAGATATTTTTCTAGATATACTAAAAAACATTTTTATTTAAAAGTTTTGGAAATATACTGAGAAGTTTTTGAAATATAAATATAGATTTAAGCATTAAAAACAAATGACAAAATATTAAAATTTAATGGAAAATAAAAATGCTGAAACACCAAAAGTGAACCATGTGCTACTTTGCTATACCTGAGATTTACCTTTCCACACTACTTTAATTCAACTCCATTAGTTATTGCAATCTCAATGGATTGAATTTTGCAAATCCCCCCTTTATTTAAAATGGGGATTATCATACACTTATTTATTTGGATTCTTTTAACTTAAAGAAGATGCTACAAATTATCTTGGAAAATTAGAGCATTACTAATAATTTTTTTTTAACTTTACTTGAGGAAATATGTAAATTATGCTTCCACTAATATATCACCTGCATTTTACTTATCTTTTCAACTAAAATAAGAATGTCCCCCTTTTCTCACTTGTATGAATTTTTAAATATAAGTCTTCAAATAAATACTTCATTTTTTTCCTTTACCATGTTTTGTGAGTTTTGAATGAGTACTGTTGCTCCAGGCACTTGATTCTGAAACCATTTGCAGTTTAAAAACATACAACAGAAAAAACATCTTGTGCATATATTTGCTTGCTTTATACTGTCAAATAAAAAGACAAATAAATATTTTGCAAAAAAAACAACAACCAAACTAAAAATTTAAGAAAAAAAAAAAAAAAAAAAAAAAAAGACAGAGAAAATAGCAATAAGTAAGCCAACAAAGCATTAAAAACTGCTTTCGTAAAGCTGAGCCACGTACTAATCATGGTAATCAAGTAATGGTAATGAAAAAGCAATGATGAATTTTGCCAAAACTGAGTAGTGTGGAGAATCAAGAAATCTGATTTTAGTGGATCGCCATAAAGCAAAACTGATACTAAAAAAGTTAAAAATTTCTGAGAAACATTAGGATCCATCAAGAATGCAGATGATGAAAATGGGGGAAAAAAAAAAAAAAAAAAAAAAAAAAGGAAAGTACCAAGCTTTACTGGGATATACAGAGCTTTATAAAAAAACTAAGTTTTTTCCCAAGGTGAGGTTTCCCAAGGTTCCATCAATTGAGAAGAACTGTGATACTTTTTTGTCTCGAAAATTCTTTTTGAACTGAGTAAAATTCAGCTAAAAAGTAAGGATAATGTTATTATTATTATTATTACTATTATTATTTGTTTGTTAAAAAGTAATTCTTTTAATGTAGGATATTCATGTTGACAGTAATAAGTGATATTTGTGTATGATATATAACAGACTCCCTGATTAATTATTTCCCTGCATTCATCTTCTTTGCCCATCTATTTGAAAAACAATAAAAGGATATAACAATAAGACTATGATGGAATATGAAATCAAATACAGAGTTTATGAATATTTAAAGCATGAAATTTGATTTCAGACATATTAATTTACATTTCACACATAATTATTGATTAAATATTGTCACTGCTAAACACATATGCAGTCTAAACTGTAAAAGTTAACTGATAATGTTCCTATTCATAAAGTATAAAAAGAACAAATAATTATTCTGTAGATAACTATTACATAAGGAAATGCATATAATATAAAATTTTAAACAAATATTTGTTTGTTTTGGTGATTGCTTTTACTTACTTGAAAGCTACATATATTTTAAAAAGTTTCCTTTTCCATCGACTCACTTTCATTAAACATTAAATTCTAATTCTGTCTTTCACAGATCAGCATGATTTTAAGTATCACATTTTTTTAAATAAATAAATGATTTTCAGTTAATTTCTTTTCAGTGCAAAATAAATATTTCTTCAGCATTTTAAAAATGTGCAAATTAAAAAAAAAAAAAAAAAAAAACACTAAATTTCCCCTAAATAACAGAAATGCTGCAATTAAAATGCACAATAATTAAACCAATTTACTTAACATAACATATACTCAACCACTGAAAAAGAGGTGGAAATGTGAGGACTAACATTAATTAGAAATTCAACTGAAATTATTTTCATCAAAACAAAAATAACCGAAAATTTGCTCACGATTTTATAAAAGTTGATACATAACCATAATTTGAAATGTAGACTCAATCTATTGGGTGGCTGGGTGGAGGTAATTGGCATGTCTTTTCAGAAAATCTGATTCAGTGTCAAAATATACCTATTATCAAAGTGATACATATAAATCTAATGTACTCGACCCTTCCAGACATGAAATAATGCATTTAAATGTGTTTTTTTATCAGTCAACTAGAATTGGAGAAAAGTGTTCGTTTTTCATTTTACTTACATATTTCTTTCAGCAGAGTACATAAGCATGTAATTATTAAACATTTTTGCAATTTTTACACAAGCACATTTTTAGCTCTGTTACACTTTTTTGAACACATCATTCCTACGAAAAGCTTCTCCCTCAATTTTATATAAAATACTACATGCTAAGATTAAAAAAATAATTTTCATACTAAAAGCAGATGCATAAAATAAAAATTTAAAATCATTTAAGACCAGGTAATTTCACAATAGAATATACATATAGTCAGCTATGTAAATGCTTTTACGTTATCCTTACAACAGTTTTTCAAAGAGCATGAACAAATTTTACAAATAACAAAATGATACTTACAATGCAAAATATAATACAGTCAAAAGTCTTTAATCCAGATGTCCATAATCCAGAATAATCAATAGTTCGGACCTCACAGCTACAACCTTTCTGCACATGCGTTGATGCATGCGCATAATACCTTTACGCATGGGCATATGCGTCTACGCATGCGCATTTAATGTATAACGGATGGTATAAGCTAAACTAAAATTATCTATTTCAGTTAATGTTGCAGATTGCGTTATTCCTTAATCTTCTAATTGAATCCGACTTATTATTTTTTGTAGACAGAGCTATTTTATAAAAGTAAGCTTGAGCTTTCGATTATGTCAAAAAGAATTTCCAATTCTGGAGCTACCAAAGGATATACAAAGCGAAAGCATGTTTTGATGTCCATCAAACAAAAAAATGAATAAAGGCATATCCTTTGTTTCTCTAACCATTCCGAAATTTGTTTATCAATTTCACGCTGCTCTGCGGGGGAGGGGGAGGAATGAACTGGAAGTTGATCTGTCAGCACTATCCTTATCTTCAGCGCAGATATTTTTATATTATTCGGCTTATAATTCCTTACTAAATGTACATCTCGATGTACTCAGTCTTTGATATGATTTAAATCAAATTCCTCGTCATTATAAATATCACGAATACACATCAAATAGTTTTCTGGTTGCAATTTTCTAATTTCGACTATGTGTAATGTATGCTTTACGCATGCGCGCGTTGAAAGAAATGTTTAATAAAGTAAACAAATAAATATTAAGCTTTTTTTGTAAATTTTGATACTCTTTAGATCATAATTGCTCTTTTTTCATAAATTACGGTTTCATATTTTTAATTTTATATTTTCTGCATGCCATCTTACCAGATTTAAATTGATGATCTATAATCTGGAAAAACCGATAATCCGGAATCGCCAAAGTCCCGACGAGTTCGGATTAAAGACTTTTAACTGTAATATATTTATTTTGACAATCATTACGGACAAAGGTTAAAAAATTGCACATCTGCAATTAAGTATTTATAAAATATCTTTAAAAATAGTTGTAATACTATACATATAGATAAAGGATTTAATATGAATAATCACATCAATTTTATCATCTTTTATGAATACGCTTATGCCGTTCCAGCTCCTTTAGAGATAAATATATTCTCTCACAAAAGTAACACAGATAGCCTATTGCCCTTTTACCAGGACATGTATGGTAAAATAATCCTTTTGCACTATGTACATATTTACCACACTGAAAGCAGGTAAATTTTTCCCTCCTACATAAAACTTCATGATAATCATTTTCAGGTGGAGATAATAAAGCTGAATTATCAGCTTTTGTCTTATATGTATTATAATCAATAATCCTGTTATTTTCATGCTTGCTTCTAAAATGATTATCAACATTTCCCTGGATGTTTCCTCTCACTGTTTGTTTATCAAAGTTTACTGGCATATTTTTATCATGTACAAATAGTGTTTTATTCATCCTGCTTGAATTTCTCTTAATGATGTTGTTTCTGGCTGAAGTTTCTAGGACACTATCACAATCTCTACTAAAAAATAAACTATGTGGTTTCAGTTCTTCCATTTCAAAAGAATTAAAAGGTTTATGGTACTCTGCCATAAAATTATTCATTGAACAAGTCCTACTTTTTTTTGTATTTTGTACTGAAGATGTAATCCTTAATCTTTTATATTTTGTTTGAAAAGGACCTGGTTTTGCATCAGAAAGACTAGTACTCTCGCTTTCTTCAGTCTTTTTGATGTTGGTCTTTAAACTCTTGTTATGTGCTGTTTTTGACTGATTCATATGAACAGGTACAAAAGTTTTCCGATAACCACGTTCATACTGATTTTTATCATATTCATTTTTAAAATGGTTTTCTTTAACCCTTTCCTTTACATTCCTGAGGATGTCACTACTACTGTTATACTCAATGTCATTTGTCCTAGACTTACATTTTGCATCTACAGAAATTGTTTCTCTTCCATCTCTTCTGTCCAAGACAGAACTTTCAAGGTGCGCAGAGCATTTTCCAGTTTTTTCCTCCAAAGTAAAGAGATTGACATTATCACTTATTGCCATACCATTTTTTCTCAATTCTCCTCTTGTATTTAAATTTTGCTCTTTTAAGTCTTCACATATGCTTTCATTGCACATCAAAGTCTTTTTGCAATTTTTTTTATTTTCATGATATGTTTCATTGCATTCACTTTTAAATTGATATTTTTTGCATCGTTCCCAGTTCTTCATGGAAGAATCACAATTATTAATTTTATTTGGATTACAGTTTGTCCTGGTAGAAATATCTTTATTTAAACCTACTTCCAACAAAGGTTCTTCACGGTACTCCAAACCCTGTTTGATTTCTCTCCCTGCCTTATACTGTTCAATATTATCAATCATATCATTTTTGCTCAAATCTTCTCCAGTGTTTGCAATATTCATAGTTTCCTTTTCTTCACAGATGGTTTTAACAAATGGTAAAGCCTTTTTGAATTTATTTTTATAGTTTGTTTCAGCATACTCAGATTGGCACTTTCTGCTTTCTCCAGATGCCTTATTATTATATTTAACTCTTCTTTGACTAGGTTTCAATTTATTTGAAAATAGTTTACTTATATTAGTTTTTATTACATGTTTTGAATGGCATTTCATATCTTCTCCTCCAGGTTTGCAATTCGAACTGTAAATACCTAGTTTTAACATGTTCTTATTTTCTTTATCTATCATATCTTTATGGCTCATTCTTTTCTTATCTTCCACAGTAGCTAATGAAGTATTACAAGTTGAATGAGCTTTTTTGAAAATACTCAGCTGATTAGTATTATTGATATTTGATTTAAGACTTTTCATTACTTTCTTTTCAGTTTTACTTTTATGTTTATCCTCAAAATTGTTTTGACATTCTTCAAGTTTCATTTTCTCAAGAACTACAACACAAGGTTTTATAGAATATCTTTTTAATAAAGATGATACATATTTTTCATCTAGCTCTTCTAATGAAACATGCTTATTGTATTTATCACTATCACATTCAACTACCATGAAAGAATCAGAACTGATTTCATGTACCTTATCTTCACCACATACTTTTGATGAAATTTTATTAAACTTAACAATATCATTCTGCACAATTTCTTTATTATCATTGCCTTCACATTTAGCTGACATGAAAGAATTTATTTCATGTACATTGTCATCTCCCCTTACTTCAGTTAAAATTGCATTACATCTAGGAGTGCAATTCTGTTTAAGTTCTTTGGACTGATTAGCTTTCAAACTATTAAAACAAACACCCTTAGCTGATGTTTTCTTTTTCAGTTTCCCATTTTTCACATCACATCTTTCTTTTTTTTCTAAAAATGATTTCCTAATTTTTAACTTTTCATCCTTACTTAAAGGAAAAGTATGAATTCTGTATTTGTTACAAGTCTGTTTTTGTGACACTTTTTCCTCATTAAATTTTCTGGATTCTTTGCCATACACTTTTCTTCCCAAGATTTTATCACTTTGACATTTTTTAATATCATTATCACAGTCACTAATATCAGAAATATTTTCTGAGGTTTTATCATAATGACATTCTTTAACATCACTATCACATTCACTAGTCTCACTTATTTCAATGATTTCAATATCACCTCTAAAACCTCTTTTTCTAAGTTGAAATCTAAATGGTGCTTCTTGCATTACAGGTTCATATTTTTTCTTATCTAAGTTTCTTCTATTTTGTTTCTTTCTGGACTTTAAAATGCTACATTCTGCATTCTTTTTAAATTTGCCACTTTCTGGAGCACTAATTTGAAGTTTCTTTTTATATCTAGGATACCCTATCTCAGCTTTACATTCACTTCCATTCTTATTGCATTCAGTTATGTCCACATCTGACTCACTACAAGATTCAATGACTTCAGTGCTTTTACGAAGAACTTCTGGTTTTAATTTAAAACATCCTTTTGTAGAAACAAACATATTACATTTTTTTCTTGCTCCTACTGGCAGAGTATGTTTTTTTCTCATTTGCTTTCTTTTGAATTCGTAATTAGATTTTGCATTATTTGTCTTAATTTTTGTCTTTAAATAATGCATATTATTTTTATTTTTCTCACCATTTGCTTTGCAACAAGAGCTAAAATTATCTTGATATTCTGATACCTGCATGGTATATAATGATAATGGAAGTTTAAGCAGGGGTACACTACAAGGTTTCAAACCATATTTATTTTCCATTATCTGCAGCTCTTTATCATTTTCATATGAGATAGAAATTTTAGCATTATCTAATGCATAATTATTAATTTTTTTATTTCCCAAAACAGTAGAACCTGAATACAAATTAAAGCCAGTTTTGTTGAATCTTATCTTATCATTACGAACATTTTTGGAAATTAAATTTGAAGTGAAGTTTAAAACTTTTTTACTATTATTAGGTATAAACTTATCTTTTGTTTCTTTTCTAATGCAGTTAATCTTGATCATTCCTTCACTTTCGTATTTTCTGAAATAAGGTTCATATTCTTGGTATTCTGTAGTTTTATTACTTTCCAGAGATAATTTATTTCCTTTTGCATGTGTGTTACTTAATATTATCATATCAGTTTTTTCTTTATGTTTTAAAATATTTTGTTTTTCAAGATGTGTGCCATCAGAAGGCACATGAACATCATTAAATCTCAATTTAGTTTCAGTAATGAAAGCTGATTGTTTAGCACTCAAAATATCTTTTTCAAATTCTAAAATTTTATTATGTTTTCTTTGGGAAAAATTCCTATATTTTTTAGAACTGCTTATCCTCATTCTTTGCTTCTGATTAGTTGTTTTGTCTCCTTTGGTATGGTTTTGTCTCCTTTGCTCACTTTCAGAAATTTCACAAAGGCTAAATGAATTATCTCCATTTTTGATATTTTTAGTATGACATTTCTTTTTTAGCACCATTTTTGACATTTCTATTTGTTTTCTTCTTGCAGAGTTCACAAACAAAGCATCTCTGTTTCCTTCTGATTCACTGTTTTCAGAATATATTTCTTTCTCATGTTCATTTTGCAGACTATCAAAATCAATTACATTAGATGGTTTTGAAGAACAAGAAAATGCTTTCCCCTTTATTGAAAATGAACTGATTTCTGAATGACACTCACTGAAACAATTATTATTTTGAAACTTTTTATATCCCCCTTTGATGTTAGCATTCTTTGTATCATCAAATGAATTTCCAGTCTGTATAGAGGACAAATTATCATGTTCAATACAATTTGAATTATCCGATATTAGCGCTTTTTTCCCTCTATTCAGACATTCTGAAATAAGGCAACCATCTACATTCATTTTGTTCACAACTACACTACACTGCTTCAAACTATAATATTTTGAAGGATTTTTAAAATGTTCACGGAAAATTCTATTTTTGGTAGATATATTCAATGTGTCTGGAGTATTTAAGTAATCACTTTCTGATGAGACTGAAGTAAAACATGCATTACTATTTCTCTCAATGGCTGAAGAATTATCTACATTATTCTGTTTTGTAAATGAGAATGGCCTGCAATCCTCTTCACTGTCTAGATCAAATGGCTTCCTATTTTCACTAATCTCTGAAGACTCCTTGTCATAAAGAAATGATACTTGATTTTCGTTTTCAACAGCAAAATTTGTAGCACAATTATCTAAATAACGCTCAATCATTTCAAGCTTCATTCCATCCATATCTGTCCTTGTATCAAAGCTTGAGCATGATGATGAATTTAATGGATCTGAAATGTTCTCGTTGAAGTCTACTGTATCTCTCTGGTAGACATACTTTTCCAGATCAATTCTAGGTATAGAAACAGAGCATGGCTGAATAAATGAAGAATTTTCATGTGTTTCTATATTTGCCAGCACAGTTTTCTGTTGTACATCTGTATTCCAAGACATTGCCTTACTTACACTAGATGAGTGGTCAGACACTTCACATCTCTCATTTTCTTTGCTTGTAATTGGAACTACACATTCAGGATTTAAAGAGTATTCTTTGTAAATGGATAACTCAGAACATCCAGAATCACTTTTCAGTAATGAATAAAACTTTGCTTCTGAAATCTTCATATTTATTTTCTTTTAATCTCAGTTTCTTATTTTTGTGGATAATATGTATCCAGAACTGCATTAAAACCCTAGGAATAATAAAAATAATTAAAATTCTGATGATTTAATAAAATATTTTTGCAATAAAACTTTACTTAACAAAAGCAAAGTGTCATTAGTTTAGTATATGTGATTACAGCAAAGCCTACAGGGCTATCTGCCAAAGGGAAGGAATGCCTTCATGGGGGACTTTTTAAGGGAAACTGGCTCATATTCACATTACACATGGAGAAAATCACGAAAACACCCATGCAGCCAGCCTGTTCACGGGATTTCAACCTTGGACTGAACTACCAGTATCCAGTGACTTTACCGCTCAGCTGCTGGTGGGTCTCAAAGTCTCATTGAAAGAAAAAGGTAAATATTTAACATTTTTTTCAATATGTGTTTGAACAAATGGTTATTAGTTTATTTATTACTACCTTACACTTATTAACATGAAATTTATTTAATTAATATGAAAAAGACTTCAAAGGAAAATTTCTAATTTATACTTTTTTAGACATTTTACAATATCAAACTGAAATTTAAAAAATTTTTAATGATCACAAACAGCCATTAGATACATAATCCTCTAATTGACCATTAGACATGCTTAGCATCCATTGTTTTTTATTTATGAAATTTAACTAAAAATTATTCATGATAAGAAATATTTCAATGATTTGCATAAAAGTTGTATTTAATAGATTTGACACAATTTCCATTAGAACATATATCATAACATATATTTAAGAATCCATTTCAGGCGTTTAATAGTCCAAAATTAAACCAACATGAAATAGACAGAGTACCATCATAGTAATATATTGGTTGTAAAGCATCACAGAAAATTTAAGCAAGAATTAACAGACAAAATAAAATTTACGTAATGATTAGAAGTCATTAAAAATCCCTTTGCTTAACTGCATACAATTTTATATTTGCTTATAATTTGTGGCAGAACAAATATTTCACTTTTATTCTAAAATAGTGGTGGGTGTACTCCAACTGCCGAATGAAAAATCCCCCCTTGTTGTCTCATAGTCCAACTGCGCGAATAAAAATTTCTTCCCCCCGTTTCCTACAGGGTTACAATTTTACTTTTCAAAGCCAATAGTAGCCAAGAGGAAAATAAAAATAAAGAAATAGAATTACATGTCACAATCACAAGAACAAGTAAAGAATATTTAACAAGCAGACTAATTACTTGAATAACAGTAATAAATACGAGAGCTAACAAAAAAATAAATAAATAAAATAAAAGGTATTAGTAAAACATACATATTAGCATAACAAACATCTTTCATTAATTACAATACTAAAGCAAGGAGTATTATAATAATATCATAAATTAAATAATTATAAAGCATACCAATTATATTTTTTATAAATGACATCAATAATAGTCATGATGTCTGAACTAGACTGGAAAATTTAGTATAGCTCACTGGCGTGCAAAAGATTATTCCGTATCGAAGTGTGCTAGAAATATTTTTTGTTAATTAAAGTAATCATGTAAATGTTTGCAGAAATTAATAGTTAAATTAAAAAAAAAAAAAAGCTTAGCATGAAATCTATTATAACAACATTAGTATGCATCTGGAACTCTAATGTATAAATTGTAAATAAATTTAAATTATTTATAAGAAGCTTTTTCTAAAATTTATCTAGAAGAAAGAATTAGATAAACGGTACTGCAAATTAATATAATCAATCAGGCCTCAATAAATAAAAACTTATTTTTTAAACAAAAATTTAAAATTTTGATGCAAAAGTTTGTGTAATATACTTTGAAATATCTGATTAACATTAGCGGGTCGTTTTAATTTATACTTTTTACTTCCTTGTAAATGAAGTATTGGTAATCACGAAAAATTTTGGGTACCATATTTCAACGAAAATATCCATTTTTGACCGCTATCAAATGCAATTTAATGATGTTTTTGCGTGACATCTGTATGTAAGGACAGAATAAAGTACTCTATTTCCCCAAATGAATTATAAAACTGATTTACAATGGATTTAGAATAAATTATTAGAATAGATTTTCCCATGGTGTCTGTACGTATGTATGTATCTCTCATAACTCAAAAACGAGCAGCCTCAAAATGCTGAAATTTTGTAGCATTGCTATAACATGTAGATGTGCACCTCCCTATTTTTGGTTGCAATCGGCCACACCAAAAGTATATGAATATATATATATATATATGTAAAATATGAAAAAATAGGATGGCTTTGCTCTATGCGAATCAGCAACCTTTAATTAACTTTCTGCAATTCAGGATCTTTCCCTTAGACCAGTACTTTCCAGAATATTCAAGCTTATTATATAACTGGGAGATTTCTGGGATTAAGAAACTCGGGTTGAACTACGAATGTTTAGTGTCTTTTCCGCTTGATTATAAGACCTTTTGAAATTAGGCTGAACAATATATTAAAGAAAATAGAAGATACAGCACACGTAAGAACAAAAGTGGGCTGAATTAGAGATTTACATGTTTGGTGAATGAGTTAAACTTATCTGTATGTCATTACGAAATATTAGGAATGTAGCATAAAAGCATCAGCTAAGAAGGCAATGACAATCTAAATAATTGTAATCTAAATGTATAACATTATCAATATCTGCTATTAATTTCAATATTGCTGAAAAAAAATATAAATGAATTCTATTAGAAATTACATGAACTCCTCGTATTATAAATTACAACAGTTAGAAATATTATTAGCATAATTTAGCGACCATCTTTGTTAACAAATAATTTCAAATAATTAATTTTACAAATAATTCAGCACAAAACCAGGTTGGAAAATGAGCTGCGTGCTGAAGATTAAACTTTACCAAGGTGTTAGAAACATCTTCTGTTAACTAGAGTTATGATACAAGAATTTGCAAAAATGATCATTTAAATATAAATTGGCACAAATGCAATACAAAATATAAATTCTACATACATGAAAACTTGAATACAGTGCAATAATATGTGGAAAAGGAATGGATTAAATGGGAACTGAAAATCTCAAGATATGAATATAAGGGAGTTCGATTTTTTTGGTTAATTTTGAAAATTCTGCAGCCGCTCATAATTATGAATTTATTAACTAAATATGCATTATAAATTAAAATGTATGCCAAAGTACATCAGGTAGAGTAACTGGAAAACAGAATAAATATTTAAACGTTTTTAGTATTAAAATATGAAATTTGTAAGAAAGTTAAAAATGACTAAAATCGAAAGCCTACCAAGGCAATATATTGCAATAATATTACTGTGAATTTAGAACCACTTAAGAAATCCAATTTTTAGATTTAATAAAGAGAGTTGTTTAAATTAAATTAGAACTGTTTACCTAAAATGGTAAATTTGAAAGTTAAAACCATTCTGCTATCTAAGAAGATTTGTTAATATTTATCTAGACAAGAAACTTATTTAAGGTGCGCTACAAATCCGATATTTGATAGGTTGATTATGTATCAGTTTTGTGTATGTCATTAATTATCAATTTTATTATTCGAAACTGATATATGTACAGCGACTAAAATCTACAACTTGGAAAGTTTTTAATTCTTACAGAGAATAAAATAGATCTGGCTCATCATTCTTTTAAGCATCATAAAACTTTAAAATGAGTGTAAAAGAAATTCATTTTTTACTTTAGCACATGCTTGACTTTAAATTAATATTTGTTTTGTACGCACAATTATTACAATATTGATAAACGAAAATAGAGGCTTGCAGTCTCAATAAAATGTCTCATTGATGGCGATAAATGATTTTTTGTAGCGCCCAATCTTCTTGGTAAAGAAACAGGGGACAGAAAAGATCGCATAGTTCTTGGATTAGATAAGAGGGGGGATGGGATCTTTGATCAAATTTTCTGCAGTTCGTACCCTACCATAGTGGTCAATCTGCTGAAAGAAAAATTTTCTTTAATAAAATAAAAACAGATTAACTTTTTTGAAACCTTAGAAATTAAGACACAGAAAAATGTCAGTAATATTTATTAGAAATACCCTGTTATGCAAACTAACTGGAATCAAACTGCTATTACATAATGATAAAGTAAAATTACATGGTGGGAAATAATGCACATCAGTATTTATCATAAAACCAGGCTTTGAGACTGCTAAGGCTTGCACTGTCTTTTTGAAATATTAAAGAAATTATTAAAGCTTCAGAGCAATCACTGTGTTTCTCTGGTTGAATTTTATTAATAAATATTTCTCCCAACAAGAATGTCTTTTCAATTTTTTCTTCGTAATAACTGAGTTTAGACCATGAGCTCAATCAAGGGAACTCAATACTGCAAAATGAAAATCGAATGCTCTAAAATGCCCTTGCCAATTAAATTTATCACTAGTAGTAAGCAGTTTTATCAGATAATTATTAATCACTTGTTTATTTTGCTCTCAAATGCCGAGACACCAAAAAAAATGAATAAAAGATTTAGTATGGTCATAAAACTTTAATGCATCATTCAACCTTTAATAATTCAACGGAAGAAGCAGAAAAGCCATGGGAGCAGATTTGAAATGCAGTTTCTTGATTTTTACTACATATGGAGTTAGCTCTATGCACAATTTATTATTTTCTATTTTTTTCTGATTTATGGCCTTCTTTTAAGCTTATTATGGCCCCACTATGATTTGGGTAACTCAAGTAAGCAATAGAAGTCATTTTTAATTAATACCGATATTCATTAATACATAGATTTTTTTTCTTTTTTCCCCTTTCAACCAGCGCTAACCTAACAAAATTGCATGAAAAGCTGAACACAATTAAATGACTCTGAAAAGTATGCTCTCTGATGTTTATCAATCATTAAGTCTCTCTGGGAATCAATGAAATTTTAAAAGGATATCAGGGAGTCGATAGCTGAACGTGCACTGAAAAATGATTGGAATAATGAAAATCCCATTGATTACAAAACAAATTTATGAATAAAATTGAGAATTAATTGTTTATTGATATAAAGCTGTATTACATAATAAGGAAGAAGTCATATAAAATAAACATTTGAAAAAACACGCAAAAAAATAATT